TGATGATGATGCTGTTGCTGATGATGATGCTGATGATGACGCTGCTGATAATACTGCTGCTGATGATGATGCTGATGATGATGATGATGATGCTGCTAATAATGATGATGATGATGATGATGATGATGATGATGATGGTGGTGGTGGTGGTGATGATGATGCTGATGCTGATGAATATGCTGATGAGGATGATGATGGTGCTGATGCTGATGTTAATGCTGATGCTGCTGATGATGATGATGATGATGATGAGAATGATGATAATGATGATGCCTATTAATGACGATGATGCTGATGACGATTAATATGATGATGCTGGTGACTGCTGCTGCTGATGGCGAATCTGATGATGAAGCATCTGATTGAATATGATGATGAATATGATGACGATGAATCTGATGACGATGCTGATGGTGGTGCTGCTGCTGGTGCGGTTGAGGAGGAGGAGGAGGAGGAGGAGGAGGCACACCGTCACGTGTGGCACCTTTCGCCTTCACTTCTTGAGGAGCCCTCATGGACCTCATTTTGGTAGTCTTGGGGCTCGTTTTGCACCTTTTGGGTGCCGTTTTGGAGCCTCTCTGGGGCCTCTTTGGGGCCTTTCGGGCCTGCTGGGGGCCTCTTGGGGCGGAAGGCTCAAACTGTCGGTTCGTGTTCCCTTTTTTGGACCCTTCCTGTGGCCGTCTTGGGGCCCTTTTGGGCTGTGTTCGGCGCCCTTTGGGCTGTCGAGCCCTCTTTGGGGCGTCTTGGGACCCTCTTAGTGCCTTCTTCTCGCGGGCAGTTTTGGGGTTCTCTTTGGGGAGGCCCTTTCTCCTGGGCCCCCCCCCCTTTGCGGCCCTTCGCCCCCTGGCGTTGCGCCGCCCCCCTCGGCCCGCCTCAGGCGCCGCCCCGGGGTCCCAGGAGTCCTCCTCGCCCCGGCTGGAGGACACCATGCTGCCAGCTACGTCACTGCGGCGACTTTCTCCACGACGCGTCCTAAGTTGCCCAGGCCGCTCGCGCATACAGGCCCGCCCCTCCGCTGGCAGCGCTCTGACTCTCCCGAGCCGTTGGCTGCAGACGGGCGCAGGCGTCGTGGCTCCACTCCAGCGTGAGAGGCCGACGGGAGACCCCCTCGATCCGCAGCGCTGATCTCCCTTGCCTGTCTTAGCTCTGTTCACACACACACACACGGCGACTGTTAGTTGCCCGCCGCCCTATCCCCCGCACTCTCCGCTAAGCGTACACTGCGACCGTTAGTCGCTTCCAACCGTCTCCCTTACCCAGCCCGGCGATGCGACCGTGAGTCGCTGTCTCGCACGCGCCCCTCCCCCAGCCGATGCCACTCCTCGCGGCCGCCCCGGCCTCGTGCCTAATGCCGCCCCACGAGCGCACAGCGGGGGCGCTGGCCCTCCCCTGGCCCCTCAGCTCGCCCTCGCTCGGGCCACCTGCGACGCCGCGCCCCGCGGCGCCGGGTCGACCCCCCCTGCGCCTGCCCCCAGCGCCGCAGCGGGGCCCCTCAGCCCCTTCCGTCGTCTCTCGCTTCGCGACCACCGAGCCGGCTGGGGCATGGCTGCTTGCACAGCGCGCGCCGCCCCCGCTGGCTGCGCCGCGCGTCGCCGCGGCCGCCGCGGTCGGCCGCCGCGGTCGTTGCCGCTGCAGCTACCAGCGCTGGTGCCGCTGCCGCCGCCGGTTCCCCTCGGGTGACGACGGTGGTCGGGGTCGTCGCGGCCGGTGCGCGGCGGCACCGCTCTAGCGTGCGAGGTCGCAGGGGAACCCCCTCGGCCCGTCGCGCTCGGGCCAACGTTCTCGGTGAGTCCCTTCGCTTTCTGTGGTTAGGCTCCGCATTTCGCGGTCGCGCCTGGCCTGCGACGGCTTGCCGCCGGTTTCTCCGCCGCCCCAGCTTTGCGCATGAGGTCGCTGGGACCCCCCCCCGACCCTGGACGCAGGTGTGCGGGCCTTCCTTTCGTCGCGGCCACCCTGGTCGCGCCCGAGGTTCGCCTGCTAGCTTTTTTCTATTTCCAGGATGCCCCTGGGCCCCCGGGCCCGCGGCTCGCCTTGAGTCTGCTGCCTCTGCCCGCCCGGGGTTGACGGTCACCTGGTCCTCCCCCGCGTCGCCTTCCCCAGGGCCTGGGGTCGGCTGTCGCCGACTCATTCGCAGGTGCGTGGCCTCCACTCGCCAATTCCCCGCATCTGCCGCCTCTGGGCCGCTGTGTCGCTGCCATCCCCCTGTCCCCCCGCCCGCGGTGGCGCTGCCGTCGCTTCCGCGCCCCTCGCTTCGACCCTTGTCGGCGTTTGGCGATCTGGAGCCTACTCCGTTGAGCGCCTGCATGTCGTGGTTCGACGTTCTCATCGGTTGCGTCGCGGCCGTCTTCGAGTGCGTGGACTTTTTGAATTTCGCCGTTTTGGTGCTGCGCCTCGACCAGTGGTTCTTCCTAGTCCACTGCTTCTCCTGAGCCGCAGCGTAGCTCGCTCCTGCGTGCTCTTTCTTCGTTTCTTCCCCGTTTTTGCCTCGCGTTCCGCTTGCTTTCGTTCCTTCCCCGTGTCGCGGAATTTAGGCCGTTGCTGGTTAGCCGCATTTTTTGACGGCGCCTGGCACCCCTGCGCGCTCGCGAACAAAAAAGTATCCCCGCCAGGTGCTTGGCCCCTCGCCCGCCATCCCCGCGGCCTCCCCCGGGGCCGCCCTGGCCTCGCGCCCGGTGCCGCCCGGCGCGTGCCTCAGCTGGGGCTGTCGGCTCGCGCCTTGCCTCTCAGTGCGTCCTCGTCACTGGTTTAGCTTGTGGCTCTTCGCTCCCTGGCGCCGGGCCACCCCCCTTGCCCCTCGCCCAGTGCGGGCTGCTCGGGGCCCCCTCGGCGCTCTGCCCCGCCTCCGCCGCTGGGGTCGCAGATGCGTCAGAGGCGTGTCACTGCCGTGGCCTGCTTCCCCACGGCGCCCCGCACAGCGGCCTATGCTCCGCACGAAGGCGCCACCTGGGCTCCTCTTCTGCCGCGCGGTCGGCGCGGACCGTCGCCTTTCGGTTGTCCGCCCGCCCCCTGCTGCCCCTCCGTCTCGGCCTCTCCGCCCCCTGCGGCTCTTGGCTGGCGGCAATCCCTCGCCGGCCTGCGGCCGGCTGACCTCTCGGCCATCCCCCAACGAGCGGGTTGCCTCCCCGACGGCCCCCGAGCGGGATCCAGCATGCTGGCGGCTGGGCGTTTCCACCGCGCGCTCCGGTGCCTTCGGTCGCACGGATCGGTTCCTCCCCGGCGCGCGGGCGCCCGCCCGCGCCCCCCGCGTTGCGGCGCGCGGTCCCTATACCAGTCCCCGACGGTGTCTGGCGATCCGGATTCTGGTCTGTTGAGCGCCTGCACGTGAGTTGGTCGACGCTTGGTGGCGCGTGTGACTCGACCGCCAACTTGTGACGGAGCGACCGTTGGTCCTGTCGCCTGCTCCTCGTGGTGCGTCTACGAGCCTGTGGTCCCTGTCTTTCAGTGCGTTCGCGGTGTCGTTCAACCAGATTTCCCCGCCATTTTGGCGATGCGCTCCGCCTGGCGGCTCCCCCCAGTCGGCGGCGCCCTCTTCTGACTGGCAGCGAGGGCCGCCTCCTGTTTGTTCCTCCCTCTGCTGTCCTCTCGCGACCTCCCTTACCTCCTGGTGCGCAATTCGCTCGTAGCCCACTTGCTTCGATCTTTGGACGGCGTCCGGCGTCTCCCGGTGCGCGCGCGATCAAAAAATCCCCACCAGCCTTTGGCACCTCAGTGGGCACGCTCTGCGTTACCTGGTACCGCAGTTTTGACTGACTTGATTAGGATGCTGATTTGTGATGCCCCCCGCGCCATTTTGGCCGCGTTGGGCCTTGTTCCGCCCTGAGCCGGGCGCCGCCCGCTTTGCTGTTCATCCTTTGCTTCGGCGCGGCCCGCGTTACCTTGCACTGCGTTCGATTCGTCTTCGCGCGCCCGCATACCGGAAAAGTCTCCCCACCAACCTGTCCAGAAACGACGCCCATGAGAGTTGACGGTGGGAGGGAGGGAGACGCGCATATTCAAACAGCGAGGGAGCCGGCCGGTCTAAGAGACGGCGCGTAGTCAAATTTCGAGGGAATGCTGATCCTTTTGGGGAAACTCCATGGCCATCTCGAGCCGTCTTGGAACGATTTGGGTTTTTGTGCCACCTTGGGAGCCATCTTGCGCCAGCTTGTGTTATGTTGAGTCACCTTGGAGGTCATCTTGGTCTCTCTGAGGGTTCTCGGGGGCCCTTTTTTTTCCGGGGCCTCTTGGAACCCCCTTGGGGCCTCTTGGGGCGTTCGTGGGACCGTTTTGGGGGCTTCTTTAGGGGTCCTGGAGGGCCCTTAGGGGCCATCTTGAAGGCGGTCAGTCACAAGAGGGGGGGCCCGTTCGTCCCCCCATCGGGGGCCACGATCTTTGTGAGGGGTGTTAAAAAATTGCCCTCTCGCTTGCCGAAAAAGGAGCCTCCGACATCTCCCGAAACCGCACAAAAAGCCTCAGGGAGGGGAGGGGGAAGGTACCATTCCCCGAAGGGAAGAAGGGTTGTGGAAGAGGAAAGAGACCCTGTGGGATCATGCCCCACAATTGCAGACCACGACTACGACTATTACTTCCATGATTAGCCTTGCGACGACGATCGCTATGTTACTAGTGATAGATAGTGACAGTGCAGGTCTAGCACTGTTGGTACGACGTTTCTCTACATTCGGGACGACGATTATTGCGAGGCGTTGGGGGCAGAAGTTGAAGCAGGACCCTCGAGGCATGTTCAAACGCCTTTCGCTCTTGTTTGCAAGGCTTTCCTTGCATGCGTGTCTGCATGAATTCGTTCGTGCGCGACCGAAGGGATTTCCGGTCTCATCAGCGTGTCGGCAAACACGTGCATGTGTGTGCGTGTGTGTGTTGTGCTGTGCTGTGCTGTGCTGTGCTGTGCTGCTGTCCTGTGCTGTGCTGTGTTATGCTGTCTTGTCTTGTGTTGTATTGTGTTGTGTTGTGTTTTTTTTGTGTGTGTGTGCGTGTGCGTGTGCGGCATCTCCCCCTGTTTTAGCTTTGTGATCTCAAATTGACAAGCAGTCATCCGCGCAATAAGCAGTCAGATGGGCCGCACGGCTTGCTTCGCCCCAGTCGTAGCTGCCGCTGAAAGAACACCCGCTCTGGAACTGTTCCCGCAGTCTGTGTTGGCGGCATTGCTTGAAGACCCTACGCCGATCTTCGTCGGCCGCCAGCAATCCGCAGACACGGCGTACCAGGAGGTGGCGGTCGAGTGGCAGCCTCATCCAGATGTGCCGCTGCAGGCGTGCGGCCAGATCGGAACCGTGTTGCACGAGGCCTCGCAGCCATTTCGGCGCCCGTTGTCTTTCGGGCGGCTGAGAACCTTCAGGCTGCACCGCTTTTCGCTCCAAGGGCAAGAGGTCGAGGCGACAATGAGGGAGCTCTCGGAGTTCGCGTCCTCTCACGCGAAATTGCGCAAGTCAGCGTCCGTGGGGGAAGAGGCCGTGCGCGGCTCAAACCTCAGAGGCTTCCAAGACATCGTCAGTGCCGAGCAGCCTCTGATGGCCGCGCTGCGGGCCTTGTTCACGGATTGCGTGCGGAGGGCCGCTGCCGCAGACACCGCCGAGGTGACAGCTGCTGGAGAAATGACGCCGCCGCCCTCGCCTCGTTGCTCGGACGAAGACTTCTGCGCGTGGATGAATGTTTCTGGCAAGGGCGCTATGAACATCTTGCACAACCATGGCACTAATGCATACGGTGCGGTTTTGTACACGCAGGTTCCTGCCCAAGAAGGTGGCCAGGTTGCTTGCGATAGGGGTGCGCTCTTGCTCCGCCTCAGCCGAGGGTCCGGGGCCAGGTTCATGGAGCCGGACGAGGACCTGCACGTGCCGCGGATGGGTAATGGGAATGCAGACGGCGTGGGTTCGGTCGGTACCGAGAGCGAGGAAACCGGTGTGGTAAGATACGTCCGAGTGCAGCCGCATACTGGTTCCTTGATGGTTTTCCCAGGTTGGCTGCCACACAGCGTCACGCCCCACTTCGAGGATTCGGACCGAGTCTGTTATGCTTCAAACTGGAGCTAAGCAGCACTGCGGAGCTGCAGCTGTCCACCACCACGTTCATATCACAATCTTTGATCCCGTAACTTTGTCATCGACAAGTTCCCGACGATCTTCTTACTACCTTCTCCACACCTTTGTATTGGCTTCTCTCGCAAAGACTGTGCGTGCATGTTCGGCGCGTTCGCTGTTGCCGCACTTCACTTGTATAGTTTATAGTTATTGCGATCCCTTCGGGACCCCGCTAGCCCCAAGGGAGGGAGCACGTGCAAACATCAACACATGCATGAACAAGCACAACTTCAAGTACATGTACACGTGCAGGTACAAGTGCAAGTGCAAGCAAAACGGCACGTGCAAGCGCAAGCACAGTGACAAGTGCAAGTACGAGTACAAGTACTCGTGCAAGTACACGTGCAATCAACATTACACGTACAAGTATCCGCACACGGACAGTTACAGTTTCAAGTACAAGTACATGCGCACGTGCAAGTACACACAAGCACACAGGTACAAGCCGGAGTGCGATTGCGAGTATGAATTTGCGTGCAAGTAGTGCGCGTACAAATATCTTGAAAAGTACAATTGCAAGTACAAGTATAAGTGCAATTCACATTGTATACAAGTAACGGTACACATACAAGCACAAGTAGGCGTACAAGGAGACCTACAAGTACAAGTACAAGCGACAGTACAAGTAAAAGTACAAGTACAAGTACAAGTACAAGTACAAGTACACGCACACAAGTACAAGTACAAGTACAAGTACAAGTACAAGTACAAGTACAAGTACAAGTACAAGTCCAAGTCCAAGTACACGTACAACAGCAAGTACAAGTCAAGTACAAGTGCAAGTACACGTACAAGTACAAGTACAAGTACAAGTAGAAGTACAAGTACAAGTACAAGTACAAGTACAAGTACACGTACACGTACACGTACAAGTACAAGTACAAGTACAAGTACAAGTACAAGTACAAGTACAAGTACAAGTACACGTACAACAGCAAGTACACGTCAAGCACACGTACAAGTACACGTGCAAGTACAAGTACAAGCACAAGTATAGGTACAAGTACACGCATCAGTACGAGTATACGACCACGTACAGGTGCACATGCAAGTACACATAAGAGTACAAGCACACATACAAGCATAGTCACACGTACAATCACACATTCAAGTACAAGTACACGTACACGTACATGAGTACACGTACACGTACACGTATCCGTACAGGTACAAGTACACATACAAGCACACATACACGTACAATCACACATACAAGTACAAGTACAGGCACACATACATTTACGAATACACGTAAACGTACACGTACACATACACGTACACGTATAGGTGCAAGTACACGCGCGCGAGCATTTACAATAACAAGCACAAGTAGACGTAGACGTACAAGTACAAGCACAAGTACATGTGCAAGTACACATACAAGTACAATTACACTAACACGTACAGTTGCACGCAGAAGTGCCAGAACAAGTATACGCGCACGTACAATGATAGGTATACGTACAATTATACGTACACATGAAGTACACGTACAAGTACACGTACACGTGCCAGTATAAGTACACGTACACAGGCAATTACAAGCAGGCATACACGTACAAGTACATGTACAAGTACACGCACACGCATTCTCACACGTATACGTACAAGTACAAGTACAAGTACAAGTGCAAGTACAAGTACAAGTACAAGTACAAGTACACGTACAAGTACAAGTACAAGTACAAGTACAAGTACAAGTACAAGTACAAGTACAAGTACAAGTACAAGTACAAGTACGAGTACGAGTACGAGTACAAGTACAAGTACACGTACAAGTACAAGTACAAGTACACGTACACGTACACGTACACGTACACGTACACGTACAAGTACAAGTACAAGTACAAGTACAAGTACAAGTAGAAGCACAAGCACAAGTACAATTACACGTACACGTACACGTACAAGAACAAGTGCATTTGCAAGTACAAGTGCAAGTGCAAGTGCAAGTACAAGTACAAGTACAAGTACACGTACAAGTACAAGTGCAAGCACAAGTACATTTACAAGTACAAGTACACGTACAAGTACAAGTACAAATACACGTGTAAGTTCAAGTGCACGTACAAGTTCAAGTACACGTAACAGTACAAGTATAAGTACAAGTACACGTACAATAACAAGTACAAGTACACGCACAAGTTCAAGTATAAGTACATGTATTTGTACAAGTACAAGTACAAGTACACGTACAAGTACAAGTACAAGTTCAGGTACAGGTACAAGTACAAGTACAAGTGCAATTCGCCGGCCCAACGGGCCAGAGGCGTGCTAAGATCTCCGGTAACTGCTAAATAATATTTCTACTTCGCGCGCGCGGGGCGGCCCTTGGGGTCCTCGGACGAAAAGTAACCCCGGGCGATCCCCGGCAGGGTCGGGTCAGAGATGGTTTTCCTCCTGGGCGCCGCCCCCGTGGCCCTCCAGAGAGCCCCAAGAAGGGCCACGAGGCCGCCAAGAGCCCTCCAAGATGGTTCAAGAGTGCTCCGAGATGCCACACGATCGTTCCAAGACGCCCAAGATGGCCCCCATACGCCCCAATAGGCCTCCAAGAGCACTCCCCAGAGGACCCCAAGAGGCAACATTCATTACTTTTCCTTAGGTTTGGGGCAGATTTTGGCGTGTCCATCTTTTCGGCTTCCCGACGCTCCAAGACGGCCCACGAGGCCCCAAAGATCGCCCCAAGAGGGCCCAAGAAGCTCCCAAGAAGGCCCCAGGATGGCCCAAGTGGGCTCCAAGACGGCCCCAGAGAAATCCAAGAGGGGCCCAAGAGGGCCCCAAGCGATGCCCCAAAGGGGGAACACAAAACAAAACTTCGAGCCCTCGGCCTTAAGAAGCCCCCAGGAGGCCTCAAGAGGCCCCTGAGAGGCCCCAAAAGCCCCCAAGAGGCCCTCAGGAGGCCCCCAAGCGACGCTGAAGAGGCCCCCCAGCGGCCCCAAGAGGCTCAGTCATGCGAAATGGGCCGGCGGAATGAGCGAAGCGATTCAATAACGAGTACACGTACAAGTACAATCACCCGCACAAGAACACGTACGTACACGTACACATACAAGTACAAGTACAGGCACAAGTACAGGCACACATACACGTACACGTAGAAGTACACGTGCAAGTGCAAGTACAAGTACATTTACACTTACACACATACACGTTCACGTTCACGTGCATGTACAACACGCACATTTACAAGTACAAGTACAATAACACGTACACTTGCACGTGCACGTACCAGAGCAAGTACACGTACAAGTACAAGGACGCGTATAAGTACAATTACAGTCACAAGGGCACGTACAAGTACGATTCTACGTACGATTACAAAGACAAGGACAACTACGAGTACAAGTACACGTACACGTACAAGTACAATTACACGTACACGTACACGTACAAGTACCAGTACAAGTACAAGTGCAAGTGCAAGTACAAGTACAAGTACAAGTACAAGTACACGTACAAGTACAAGTGCAAGTACAAGTACACGTACACGTACAAGTACAAGTACACGTACAAGTACAAGTACAAGTACACGTAAACGTAAACGTACAAGTACGCGTACACGTACACGTACACGTACAAGTACAAGTACAATCACACGTACGCGTACAAGTACACCTAGAAGTATAAGTACAAGTACACGTACACGTACAAGTACAAGTAGAAGTATAAGTACAAGTGCAAGTGCAAGTGCAAGTACAAGTTCAAGTACAAGTACAAATACAAGTACACGTACAAGTACAAGTACAAGTACAAGCACAAGTACACTTACACGTTCACGTACACGTACAAGAACAAGTGCATTTGCACGTACAAATGCAAGTGCAAGCACAAGTACAAGTACAAGTATAAGTACAAGTACAATTAGAAGTACAAGTACACGTACAAGTACAAGTACAGGTACAAGCGCAAGTGCCCCTGCCAGTGCCAGTGCCAGTGCACGTACAAGTACAAGTACACGTACAAGTACAAGTAACAGTACAAGTACACGTACAAGTACACGTACACGTACAAGTACATGTACATTTACAAGTACGAGTACAAGTGCACGTGCAAGTAAAGTGCATGTGCAAATGCAAGTGCAAGTACAAGTACACATATTGCGGGCATCTTGGGTCTCTCTTGGGCCACTCTTGATTTCAGACGCAGTCCAAGAGCAAGCGCATCAATGTATCGTTGGTGTTTCATTGCTTCTTACGCCGCGTTTGGCCATCTTGGGGCCACCTTCGGGGTCAGTTGGGGCCAATCTTGGGCCAACTTGTGGCCATCTTGGTGCAATCTTGGGCCATTTTTGGCTAGTTTGGGGCCGCCTGGGGGTCGCGTCGGGGCGCTCAAGCCACGACCTGCGAAAGTTGCACAAATTTGGCTAGCTGCCCCCTCCCTCTTCCCTGTCCCCCTCCAGAGTCTAAAAACTAGTAAACCGCGCAAGACATTCCAGGAAACCGAATTGGAAAGGGTTCTTGACTTGGGGTCGGGTCTGGGCCTCTTATGCGGTTCATCTCGGAGGGGTGTATGTGGGGAGGGAGAAATGTTTCCGTATGTGCTCATCCACACGCTTCCGCCCAGTGAATTTTGCTGGACATTTGGCGCTGACCTGGGGACTGGTTCGTGCTGAGCATCTCTCTGTTGTGTATGGTCTATGCGTGTATGTCTGGTGAACTCGCTGTTGCCGCATTTCAATGATTTATTGTTTCCGGCCATGCTCAGCAGAACTCTAGCTTGTAGTGCAGCCTTCAGCTGCGAAGGAGTGCGCGCGTGCTTTTCAATCCATTATTTTTGGTTTGTCGTATTAATGTCATACATCGGTGTCTAGTAGCTGGTGAAACTAAGCGGGCACCCAGGGTGAACAGAGTGATCTATGGGAGCAAGGGAGTAGCCTTGAAGGGCCTCTCCGGGCCATCCCTGGGGTCCGCCTTGGGGCGGAAGGGGAGGAAGACGACGACGACGACGACCATGACGACGAGGAAGTGGAGGAAAAAGAACAGGAAGACGATGAGGGTAAGGACGAGAACGAGGACGAGGACGAGGAGGAGGTGGAAGAGGAGGAAGAGGAGGAGGACTCAAGGACGAGGACAAAATCGCCTCTTGGAGCCCTCTTGGGGCTCTTCTAGGGATCTTGGGACCCTCTAAGGGCCCTCTTGGATCCCTCTTGGGGGCTGCTTGGGGGCATTGGAGGGCCTCTTGGAGCCATCGTGGAGGGC